TTTCAACCGAAGTCACCTCACCTTTTCAGTGGCACTCTTGGATTTCCAAGTTGAGGCCAGGTTCATTCATTCCTTGTCAAATCTTGCATAGGCATCACATATCGCATCCCGCATAGTATACCATGTTTGCATCATGTTGTTCGAGCATTTGCACGTGGTTGATTGTGTTCTTTTTGCTTGTTTGTCTTGTTTGGGTAGATCCGGGAGACGAGTTCATTAACGAGGAGCCCGTTGAGTTTGCTTTCGAGGATCCAGTCAACTCTGACAACTTTGTAGGCAAGATGATCATACCCTCAAAATCACTTCTATCTTTGCTTTGCTAGATGCTCGCTCTTTTGCTATGCCTATGCTACGATGCCTACCACTTTCTTATCATGCCTCCCAAAATGCCATGTCAAACCTCTAACCCACCATGTCCTAGCAAACCGTTGATTGGCTATGTTACCGTTTTGCTCAGCCCCTCTTATAGCGTTGCTAGTTGCAGGTGAAGATTGGAGATCGTTCCTTGTTGGAACATTATTTTCTTGTTGGGATATCACTATATTATCTTGTTATCTTAATGCATCTATATATTTGGTAAAGGGTGGAAGGTTCGGCCTTTTGCCTAGTGTTTTGTTCCATTCTTGCCTCCCTAGTTTCCATCATATCGGTGTTATGTTCCCGGATTTTGCGTTCCTTACGCGGTTGGGTAATAATGGGAACCCCTTGACAAATCGCCTTGAATAAAATTCTTCCAGCAATACCCAACCTTGGTTTTACCATTTGCCACCTAGCCTCTTGTTCCCTTGGGTTTCCGGAGCCCAAGGGTCATCTTATTTAACCCCCTCCCCCGGGCCAGTGCTCCTCTGAGTGTTGGTCCAAACTAGAGCCCTGTGCAGTGCCCCCTCGGAGAAACTCGAGATTTGGTTTTAGTTGTACGGATTGCTCATCCGAGTGTGCCCTGAGAACGAGATATGTGCATCTCTTATCGGGATTTGTCGGCACATTCGGGCGGTGTTGCTGGATTTGTTTTAACTTGTCGAAGTTGTCTTGTAGAACCGGGATGCCAAGTCTGATCGAAATGTCTCGGGAGAAGGTATATCCTTCGTTGACCGTGAGAGCTTGTCATGGGCTAAGTTGGGACTCCCTTGCAGGGATTTGAACTTTCGAAAGCCGTGCCCGCGGTTATGGGCAGATGGGAATTTATTAATGTCCGGTTGTAGATAACTTGAACCTTAACTTAATTAAAATGAATCAACTGAGTGTATTACCGTGATGGTCTCTTCTTGGCGGAGTCCGGGAAGTGAACACGGTGTTGGAGTAATGTTTCCCGTAGGTTGTTCTCTAGTTTTTCGTTCGTGCATTGCCTTCTCTTCGCGCTCTCTTTTGCGAACAGCTTAGCCACCATATATGCTAGTCGCTTGCTGCAGCTCCACATATTATCTTACCTTTCCTATAAGCTTAAATAGTCTTGATCGCGAGGGTGCGAGATTGCTGAGTCCCCGTGGCTCATAGATTACTTCCAAACCAGATGCAGGGCCTGATGACTCCGTTCCAGATGATGCGCTTGAGCTCAAGTGAGAGTTCGACAAAGACTCACGCCGTTACTATGTGTCTTTCCCTGATGATCAGTAGTGGTGCCCAGTTGGGGCGATCGGGACCGTGTCGCATGTTGGGTTGATCTTTTATTTTGGTACCGTAGTCGGACCATGAGTGATTGGATGATGTAATGCTATTTATGTACTTTGTTTGACGTGGCGAGTGTAAGCCAACTATGTTACCTTTCCCCTTATTATATATTTACATGGGTTGTTGTGAAGATTACCTTACTTGCGACATTGTTTTCAATGCGGTTATGCCTCTAAGTCGTGCTTCGACACGTAGGAGCTATAGCCGCATCGAGGGTGTTACAGCATACTAGTGACATACTGTTTGTCTATGTATTCACACATGTATTATGTTTCCGGTTAATACAGTTCTAGCATGAATAATAAACATTTATCATGATATAAGGAAATAAATAATAACTTTATTATTGCCTCTAGGGCATATTTCCTTCATAAACATTCTTTCAGTACATAGTTTTTTTGTTTTTTTATTGAAAGATGTTTCATCGTCCATGAAAAATGTTTAGACTCATAAATTGATCATGTATGCCATACAAATTGTTTTTAAATATTCATGTAACTTGTCCAAAATGTTATGTATTTCAAAAGATGATACACTTCATTATGTTAGTTTTTAAAAACAAAAGGTCAGAAAATATACCAATGAACGAGGAAATAACTACAAGTTGAACAATTTTTTAAACATAAAATAGATTAAAATATATACAGAACAGAAATATAACTGAATAAAGATAGAGAACCAAAAACAGAAGGAACTTGAAAATATAAATAAGAAAAACATTGGAACATGTATAATGTTAATAATAACAAAACATGGATACAATAGAGAAAATAAAAAGTAAAGGTATAAAGAACTAGGGATAATGAGTATAAATTAAAATATTAATATAAAAACAAAATTTGAGGTAAAATAAATAAAAAGGAAAAGGAATATAAAGGATAGTGAAAAACATGGATTTTTTTTGGGAAAAAGACACAAATAAAAGAAAAGTTAAAGAAAAACGCTCGATGGGCGAGCATACCATGATGGAGGGACCACGCAGAGCGCTGCTTCTTATCGCTATGAGTGGGGATTAGGAATCACATGTCTCCCTCTTTCACGTAGTCCGATCCACCTCACCCTTATTGGATGTCTACTGCCACGGCCATCCAACTACAATTCCAAGATGACTTGTTTTCCTCTTATGCTGGTGAACCCCACCGAGAACCCCTTACCCGAACCAGCAACCTAACTCTATCTAGCTTGATCAAGAGTAGTGAAAAACATGTGAAGATTGAAGAAGTGGAGATTAAAACGGGTTTGTGTGCTCGGGCCAAATCCACTAGGCGGCGTGAGGCCAAAATTTGTTGGGCGGTGTGAAACAAAACAACTAAGGATATGTTCATGACTGCTAACTAAATCCCTCTCCTAATGAATCATCTACATTAAGGCACATCACCCTCAAAAGAACAGTGGTTGGATTGTATCGAGGATCAATCAAGTCCATTAGATTTTGACAGTTTGGGCCTATGAAAAATTGTGTCCTTTGTTTGAAAGAAACATCTCTTTGTAAAAGGGCATCTCTTCATGGAAAGACATGTAACTTGGTGAAATGACATCTCTTCATGGAAAATCAACCCCCCTTGATGAAAAGACGTCTCTTCATTGAAAGACATGTCCCTGGATGAAAAGATTTCTCTTCATAAAAAGACATCTTCCTTGGTGAAAAGATGTCTCTTAGTGGAAAACATATTTGAAAAGAATAAAAACATACTTATTTTTAGAAATTCAGAAAAACACAATATACATAAATTTAACATTTCAATTCATTTATGCACTTTATTTTTTTTGAAATTTACAACTCTAGGATTAATAAACGTATTTTTTATATAAATATTTTAAAACAAACTTACTGAAAACATCCAATAATACACAACAAAGTGCGGGCCTTACACCAGTTATATTGTATTGTGCTCATCTCAAAATGACATGAAGATATTAGTAGGAAAAATAATCAATAATAATAGACTAAAAAAATACTAAACTAGAAAAGAATAACTTTGATATATAAGGTTATCATATCAAGATTTTAGCCAAGCACAGAGAATATAAGGTTTTTTATGGAATATAAGTGGATCCATATTTTCTCCCTTATTACCAAAGAGACGCGACCTATATTCGCGGAGGTTATATTCCTCTTATAGCGATACTAGCATAGGTCTCGCTGAAGGTTTTACCCCGTGCTGTAGCTACTCGGCCGGCTAGTTTTATTTTTTTTCCTTCGCTGGGTTTCATTTTCCTTTTTTTCTGAATTCGTTGGGTCTCGCTTGTTATTTTGCTTTCCATTTTTTCTTCGCATTTTCTTTGTTTTCTTTGTTTTTTCATTGGTTTTCTTTCTTTCTTTCATCGCATTTCACTGGGGCTTTTTCTTATTTGTTTCTTTGTCGGTTTTCATTGTTTTTTTGCTTCTGTTTTTTCTTACTTCGTTTTTTCTTTTTTGTCTTGTTTTTTTCCTTTGGTTTCTTTTCTTTTGCTTTTTAGGTTTTCTTTGTTTCTTTTGGTTTTCATTCTTAATTTTTCGTATAGGTCAGGAAGATTTTTCGAATACACGTTTAACATTTTTCAAATACAAGTTATCCTTTTTCTGAAGACAAGTCAACATTTTTTCTGTACAAATTTTAAACATTTTTCAAATGCTTGATTTTCATTTTTCAAATACAAGATTAACATTTTTTTAATACATGGTCAACATTTTTTATACTTATTTTAAATATTTTAAATTTTTTGAGTAATATTTTTCAAATGCAAGATTAATATTTTTATACATGATCACCATTTTTCTATGTGCATAACATTTTTTTCAAATGCTTGATTAACATTTTTTTCAAATGCATGATTTTTTAATACATGGTCAATATTTTTCCTATATACATTTACCATTGTTCAAATGCTTGATTAGCATTTCTAAAATAGAAGGTTAACAATTTTTTGAATACAATACATGATTAACTTTTTATGAATACATGGTCAAGATTTTTTTATACACAGTTAACATTTTCAAATGATTGATTATCATTTTAAAAATACTTGTTTAATTTGTTTTCAAATATTTGATTAAAAAATTAAATACATGATCAACTTTCTTTCATACCCATTGTATTTTTTATTCATTTTTTCTATACATGAGAGACATTTTCTATATACACATTTAATGTGAAAAACACATTTTTTAGCGGTATGTGAAAAAAACATAGAAACGAGGCCGTGGCCTCCCGCGCCTGGCCGGGCCATCTGGGGTAGATGGGCCAGAAGCCCAGAACTGCACCATTTTTGTAAAACCCTAAACCTCGCCATTTCTAGTTCCCCACCACGACACCACCGCCGTCCACACCTTCTCCGACGAAACCCTAGCGATGGCGTTCCGCGGCGCAGCCTCCCGCTCCTTCCTCGCCGCCGTCCGCGGCCGCACCGCCTCCACTGTCCCGCGCGTACGCGCGGCCCCCATTCCCGCCGCCCTTCCCCGTCGCATCCCTGCCTCGGCGCCCTCCTCCCCTCTCGCCGCCGCAAGGTAGTCGGGACGAAATGCCTCCCCGATACGCGAGAAATCGGTGATGTGATGTGACTGTAACAAGTGGTCTTAATCCGATGCAGGCCATTGGCGGCGTTGATGGGGTCGCCGGCGTTGGTTGCCGCAAGGCTGACGGGGCACTGCGCGGCGAGCGCGCGGGCGTGCTGTGAGCTCTCCCAGGGTACCCTCTTCTGCCGCACTTGTCAGGATCGCTAACAAGTTAGTTATCATGAAAACATCGTACCTGCCTGCATCACAAGCTGCCCCTTTAACATTCTAGATGCATAATTATTTTTGGGGAACGAAATAATGTTTTTGCAATCATTACTTGCGTGATGCTTTGATATGTGTGCATTGGGAGGATTGCTACCATGGCTTGAAATTTCTCCTGGTCGGAGGGTTGTGGTCTGCGGACCATTGTTTTCCGTTATTTGCTCTATCACTGCAATGGCGCATTTTGGTACTAATAGGTTTTAATATGGAAGTATGCATATGTACAGTGTGATTTGTATTTGAGTATGTCATGTTGAGTTGAAATTGCTTGATGACTATAGTCATGATAATAATATAATTCAGTGTTGGAATTATTTGGAAATGTTTTTTCGTACTGAATTCAAGGGGTTAAAATGCATGATCCGTTTGTCCACATAATGTATGAATTGTATCTGTTGCGGTGTTGTTTGGACACTCATTACTAACCTCTAGGAACCATCTTGATCAGAAGCATATCCTTGCATGTGAAATGTTATTTGGCTGGATTATGTGGGTTAGCTTATTGCACATTAGTCTAGCTCAATCCTTGGTTGGGGCGATTAGAAGGCTTTGGCCAGGTTAACATAAGTACATAACTACCTTACATCATAATAAACCTTGGTCATTATTTACTTTGAAATGCGAAATGGTATTTGTCTGGATTATGTGCGTTAGCTTTTTGACGATTAGGCTAGCTTAATCTTTGGGTAGGGTGGTTAGAAGACTTTGGCGGGGTTGACTTTGGCGGTCATAATCCATTGCAAACCTAAATTACCCTTAGATTTGTGCTTATCCAATTTTTCATCGGACAGACTTCAGTTGGTCGCGTGTGTGCTGTTTGTTCCCTGAAGTGTGCCAAATTGTTTTCCTTGTTTTTTCGTGCTGCTGTTTGTGCGCAACGATGTTTGTGGACTGGACGATGGGTTGGCGCCTAGCACCTAACCGGATAATACCCGGGTTCTCAGGCTAGGCTTCCACCTTTAGAACAGTGGTATGGTCTACTGATGGCTTATAGGATGAAAAATGATTTCCTCGCTAAGGATTTTATCATTAAGTGACATAATAGGCATTGCAGTGGAGAATTGTGTTTGCATGATGATATATCCAACTATCCATTGTTTGCTCTTTTGATGAATTTATATTGCAGCAATACAACTAATATAAGGGCATACGAAATTGGGATTTGATAGGGAAAAATGGGGAAGATGGTTGACGCAGAGGACAGCCAGAATAATTTTGGGACCCATTGCGTCAAATAATGTAGGTCTCTCTATTCCCATGACTGTTTTTGTTAGCAAGAAAATAAAGGAATTGTGTAGCAAGGACCATCAGAGATTAAGAGTCGAAAACATCTGAGTTAGTTGCCGGTGTGCTGACTCATGAACTAGTTGCAACACGAGTAGTTGAGGTTTCAGTTGGAAGCCAAAATAAGATTCATAGACTAGTCTCGTGGTTAATCATTACTAGTTGAGCGACTCTTAATCATTGTTAAGGATAACCATGAAATAGTTTATAGTTATGTAAGGATTGTTAAATTACAGGGTAAACATACCAGAGGGGATGGCCAAGCACCAATGGCTTCTCCCGAGGGAGAGGAAATTTTGCACCTGACCTGTAGAAAATAGCAAGGAAAAAAGCGGTAGGCGTCAATTGTGCATCTTGCCACTGCCTAGCGTGCATCTCGCCTAAGCGCATGCTTAGGCATGCTTATGTGCACACCTAGCACATTTAAGCACTTGGTGTTCTGTTGTGCCTAGGCACACTTCTTCCCTGAAAATTGTTTGTTTGGAAGGGAGGGAGGTTCTTAAATGGAACCCTGGTATTAATGCGCATAGAACATGAATAGAAACTATAATATGATGGAAAATGTATAACCAAAAATGGAAATAGCAAACCGGGATAGACTGGTAATCATGCGCTTGGTCTGATAAATCTCTGAAATCTGCTTTAAATTCTTGCAGACAGTACATATGGATGTTTGGCTTATGTCTCAAGATCCTGAATGTAAATTATCACTTAAGTGGTCCACTGTGCCAAAATGCTAACCATTCTATTAGTGCATTGGCTCTCACATTAGATTTCATTTCATCTTTCATATTGAACTATGTCCTCATGTACATTATGAATGTGCACCAGGCCCCAATTCTTCCGCACTGCTCTTTGGATTATGTTAGACTGTAAAAATGTGCAAAAAACTCCTTTTTTAACTAATCTCCACATAAAGTAGTAAATAACAGTGAATTGTGAAATTTTTTATTTGAGGATTTCTGTGGTTGGGCTGTTAGAAAATGGAGATGATGAATGACACGTGAGCGACCAATTTAAAGCATGTTGAAGGTGGTGATGTTGAAGCAGTGTACTTCTGCTATTTTGTCAATCTTGTGTCTGTAAGAAATGGTTAATGTGAATTGAATAGCCACGACGAAATAAAGAGCTGTATAACTAGACGTGGTTATGAAAATTATAGCTTTTAATTTTATGTACTGCCTCATGTTCTGTGTTTGTGATGTGGGACATCTGTTCCGTTGGCAGTATTTGCTATTATGTGAAATTCAAAATCATTCTGAGTTTTCACATATTCATTTCCAAATTATCTTCTGTTCTGTTATCCTCTTTCCGGCTTGAAATAGTCAGATATAGTAGAAAAGCTGCGTCATAACTTTCATGGTTAGGGGGTGCTATCTTTTAAATATGACGATTTGACAACGGAAACCAATAATCTTTCAAGCCAAGGTTTTCCAGTTCTGTTTATTCCAAGAATGCAGATAAACTAGATCTTATGTTACTGTCAAGTATTGTTAGTTAGAATTTTATTTCCTGCTAGTATGTGCTATGATTTTGAGTCCCTAGCATGTTCTAACCTCCTTTGATTTGAATAAAATGCGCCGACCTATCTAAAAATTACCCTTTTATCTTGTACTGCCTATATTTTGTATGATTTTCATGTCGAACCTACCTGGCATGCAACCTTGTTTTGCAGGTACTTAAAGGACGAGTTGCTGCCCTTCGCAATGATACAACAGTTCTTTTGGGTGCATCTCCTTGGAAGCTCTTCTGGGTTCAGTTCCTTTTCCTGGATTCTGCAAAGTTAAAAAACTCCCCACTGCCGGTGCTAGTTTTTGTCTCCTAGACAAACGGACATTCTACTTGATATTTTTATATATGAATAACGTCCTTTTGATCAGCACATGTCTCATTGGATGGTTCTTGTTTGCGAGGCATGTTGAAATCTTTAATTCGTAATCGGTATCATGCTGTTTCTCTATGAGTCTACACTCGCAGCGAATTTGCAAGTGGGAGTTCAGTGGAATCAAAGAAAGCCCACATGTGATTGTCGATATATTATCGTTATTGATAGCCAAACTGTAGATTGTGTTGTGTCTTCAACCGTTTAAATTTATGAATCTAAAATTTCCGTTTGTATAATTTATAAATAGCTGGTATTGACATGTTTGTAATCATTTTCCTTGTTACTATATCCTTTTCCCTTATCAAGTACTCCCTCCATTTCAAAATAGATGACTCAACTATATCCTTTTCCCTTTTCCCTTATCAAGTACTCCCTCCGTTCCAAAATAGATGACTCAACTTTGTACTAACTTTAACACAAAGTTGGATCATTTACAAAGTTGGATCATCTATTTTGAAACGGAGGGAGTATGGTTTTCTCATGTTTCCACAGTTAAGGGGACTCAGTGACATCTTTGTCCTATAGGTTAACAGCAAGCTTCTTCCATGCACCTGCATACCGTTTTACATAGATAAAAGTGAACTTGGGACATACACCGTAGGAGGTATGAAATACATCACGGTTACTGGGATAAGCTCGTATCACCAGCCTCTATTATTATTCCAGTGACACAGCTGTAAGTTCTATGGGTACAGTCGAGCACATAAGTTCACACAGGCAGAGATCAGGTTCAGCGCACCAGGACGAAGCGGCCGTGCAGCCTCCGCAGGACGTGAACGTTGGCCGCCGGTCGCCGCGCACCCTCCATGAACTCAAAAATGCAGACGTCGTGTGCAAGGAGGCCATTGTCGCGGGCGAAGTCGCGCCACCCGCGTCCGCAGAAGCCCCGGCAGTTGTCTCCGCTTGTGTAGCGGACGTGCCACCCCCCTTTCCCGCCGGCTCTCCGCAGAATGATCTCTCTGCCGATCCCTCCCAGGTACTTACCTGCAAAATCCGAGGACACGCCCTGCGGATGGAAGCAACACAGCGCGATCCGAACAAAGCTTAGCATTCCGCTCTTAACACCGCATTTGCTGAATATATTGGCATTGCAATCTGCAACCTTGGTCTGGGTTTCAGAAGGAAGGTCACTTACCACAATGCTGGTCCGGGTGGTGCCACGGACATGGCTCGCGTGCATCACATTCACGAACACCGGGTTCCTCGGCTCGACCGGGACAGGGATGCTTGATATCTCCTCCTTGTCTTCCTCTGTCAGATGGAACTCGCTCACGGGCCCATTCTTGCAGAAGTAATACCTATTCTTGGCAGCCGCCCCACCATGATTCATATCAACATCTCCATGGTCTGCAGCAGGCTCAACAGATAAATGCATAACATGCATCTTACAACATTAGTTGCACATAAAATTCCAACTGGTGCATTCGAATTAGTACCGTATGGCATGCCTATATCATGTTTACCTGCCCCGGCAATGCTCTTGCCGGTGCCTCTGTAGAGTGTCATCTCCAGGCCAGCACCGTCGCCTTTCGCCGGTGAAGGCGGATGCGGTGCGCGTTCTTCAGCCTTGTTGGAAGCGTGGTAGCCGCATCGGCGACCTTTACCTCTGGCAGAGTTCTCTGCTATGTCATTGTCATCACAGCCACGACGTTTGACGGGGCGAGGAGACGGTGGTTTCTGGCAGCCGGCCGAGTCGAACATCAGGACATCAAAGGAGGACGCTCCACTGTATCTGAAGAGCAGGCGGTCTCCTTCCCCGATGCCGTGGTCATCGACAAACTCCTTCCACCCAGACCGGAGGACTACTTCGTCGGTGTCGCCGGCTACTTCGATGCTCCAAGATTTGCCACTATGGGGCTTCAGATTGATGACCTCAGAGATGCGCCCGTTGAAGTTCTTTGCAAACCTACCAGGTAAGCTCTACAGGAAGAACAGCTAGTATCATGAATATAATGATGATATAAATCGAGATCCACACTTGAGTTTACAAAGGCAATATAAGCAAATGCAAGGAGAAAGCTCTGCAGTGAGGGAGGCAGACGGAAGATTCCTGACCATGCTTTGGGCGAAGTCCCCAGCCATGAGCTTGAAGAAGTGCTTGTTCTCATCAGCCATGTGGCTCCAGTAGCAATGCTCTTGCCACTCCGCGCACCGCTCGCAGTTCTTGCCCATCTTCTGCATCTGGGAGGGTATCTGGGAAAGATCACAGAGGATGGATGGATGGATGGAGGTGTGCAGTCAGAGATGAGAACCCACCTGGTGTTCTGATAGCACAGACGGTGCTTCCTATGGGCACTGGACTCTGGAATGCACTACGGCATGTCGGCACACTACTCACTCTAGTCTAAGGCAATGTGTAGACCAGCTGACAGGGTGACACGTTGCTAGGCAGGGTAACAACTGTCGGAAGGTCGTTTCTTCACCTGTCTGTTCGTATCGGAAACGAAAATGCAACCAGGATTATTACAAAAAATTATTAGAAGCATCTACACCAGTATTGAGACGAGCTTAGAACAAACAAAAAAGGAGTTTTCACACATTACCATACTGTATTTTTGCCTGTCAAATTAATTTTTATGCCTAGACAAAGGAAAATGTTTAAAATCAGTCGGATGATTTGTTGGTTTCATCATCCGCGTCCACTGCCGTTCGATCGCTGTGGGGCGAAGCCTCTCTCTGTGCCCACGCGAAGCTGCCCATCTATCTGATTCTGACCGCACAGCCGTGGTAGTGGCTAGACGCACACCTAAAGCTAAGTGGTCCCAGTAACTGTTTAACAATTCCATTCCGTTTCTACTTTCTCACGTGGTGTTTACCCGCGTAGCTACGCATGTACGTGATGAAGTATTCTCAAGAGGAAACACGTAGCAAGTAGCAAACAAAGATTCCAGAACACCATATTCTTGACTGTGGGTGTTTGTTGGATTTGCTACTAGCAAGCTCATGGTGTCATGGTTGCTTGGATAATGCTTAGGGTAGTGTTCTTGACGCCTTCACCGCCCCGCCGTCGTCGAAGCATAGAACCATCGCATCATCCTCGGAGCAGCCGGGCTGCCGTTATAGCGTCGACGAAACAGTCGTGACATCGTCACAACATTGTCGTAGCAGGGTAGCATGTCGTCGCAACATCGTCGAAGCAACTAGGCCTTCGTGTGCCTTCATCATAGCATCACCGTGGTTGTCGAAGCACGCGGTCGCAGCATCGCCATGACCGTTCGAAGCATGCCGTCGCCGCGGTTCGTTGCAGTATTGTCACGGCTGTTGAAGCATGTCGTTGCAACATCATCGAAGCATCTGGGTTGCCATTGTAGCATCACCACAACTACCGAAGCACCCACTGTCCTCGTCGAAGTACGTGGTCGCAGCATCGTCGTGACCGTTCAAAGCATGTTGTCATTGCGGTTTGTTGCAGCATTGTCGCGGCTACTGAAACTTGCCGATGCAACATCATCGAAACAGTCGGGTTGCCATCATAGCATCACCACGGCTACCAAAGCACCCATCGTCGTCGTCAAAGCAGGCCGTCACAACATCATTGAAGCAGACAGGTTGCCGTTGTAACATTGCCGTGACAGTTAAATTACACCGCGGCCGTCAAAGCTTGTCATCCCAACATCACCGAGGCAGCCGGGTATTGTCGCAACATCACCGCGGCCGTCGAAGCATGCCGTCGTGCGACCGCCGCAGCCATGCCTCACACTACGCCCGCAAACAGCCGAGACCACCCTGGTCTTTTTGAAGCAGCTTATGTCGTGAGAATGGATGACTTTGCTTTTTTTAGGGAAGGTACTTACCTGAACTAGAAGCACCTCGCTGGGTCACATGTGCGTTGCAACAATAACCTTCTCTACCCACAAAAAAATAACAATAACCTTCTCTGGAGTCGCTGCTGCGCATGCCATTAGTCAAACTAGTCGGGGTGGGATAGACATGTGAAAGCGGCTCCCGTGATCAGCTAAGAGAAGAAATAAATTAAAGCGTGGAATCAAGTGGATCGTACGGCTTACAGGACATGCTGGACCAACCATCGGGTGGCTAGCGACCCGGCTGATCCCACGCGCGGATCAGCCGGATGACGCCTAGCATCTGCCCTAGACAAATTGTGTTGAATTATAGATGTGTCTTGGGTTCATATAAACAATAATTTCTGGTTAATTTCTAAGGCTCAAGTGAGCCGTCATGTCATGGTGGGAAGTTCAGTATTATACCATCATTGAAGGAGAGTTGAGACCTTTATAAAAGATTCTCTTCTATATGCTATTAAACCTTGAGAAGAAGATTTAAAAAAAAACGTGATACACGTGCGCTCCTAATCCGCCGCTTGCCTCATTTGCGCTGTGTTTCGTGAACGAGACGAGCTCAAACCTACATCATGTGTGCATTTTATTTTAGCTGGTCAAGAACAGTTAATTAAGTAGAGATTACTTATGAGTCACTAATGGAATTGCTATTGTCCGAAACGTTAGGCCGTATGCTGTTTGGGGACTGGTCGTGGGCTAAGCCCAGGCCCAAGACTCTCTACCCCTAGCGCACTCGGTTCCTTCTTGTAACAACCCTAGACGCCACTTTATTGTTTCACCCACTGTTGTTGTTTCCTTCCCATCACGTCGCCCGTGTGCACTGTCGTTCGAGAGAGCAGGCCTCTAGAACTTCGTCCTTGCAATCCTGCACCAGTAGGAGGGCGATAAGGTTTTTCGAGAGTGTCTCAGTATGACTGCTCCGTGTTCGTCTTCCTCCTCCTCCTTTGCTTCGACTACTTCACCGACACCAATCCAATGGCCGGCGCCACCGCCAAGAAGGCTGTGGAGGAAGTGGAAGCCGTTGCCGAGGCCTTAGCCTGGCCTACTAGAGGGTATGATCTGTTCATCCGCTATTTACTCATGCATGTGTTAGATGTATTTATTGTGTTCGTAGATGTTTTTGGTTCTATGTTCGATACGCCCTCACATGTTTAGATATCGATATGAGCTCCATATTGTTATTGCTAGCCTCATGATTTATTTGTGGATTAAATTAATCGAAAAAGTGGTAATATATTCAACAATCTAAAACCTTACTTTCATAGGAATTTCCCAGTTCAAGCATTTGCTGCTACATTGAAATCGGCCCCGTTTACGGATACATATTTTAGGTGTTGGCAGACCAAGACTATCTTGTGTCTCACAACAATGAACGTGTTTTGGGTCATTGGTAGCACTCCTGCTGGAACGATTGCTTCTGAACAGGAGAAGACATTTAGGGAGGACACCATCGTCTTTGTGGGAGTCGTTCTGAGTGTGATCGGAGACATATTAGTTGAAAATATCTGCATATGCGTGTTGCCAAGAACCTGTGGGGTGCGCTTGAAGCTAAGTTCAGCGCAATCGATGCTGGAAGCAAGGTGCGTGCTATGGAGCAGTTCCACAATTATAGGATGGTTGATAGCCGTCTTGTATTGGACTAGACTCATGAGATACAATGCTCGGGCTCCTAAAGTGTGAGTTACCAGACAAGTTTGTCGTGGGATGCATAATTGCTAAACTTCTTCCTCTTGGAGGAACTTTGCTACTTCTCTTAAGCACTTGAGACGTGCATTCTCGGTTGAGGATGTCATCAATCATCTGAGTGTTGAGTAGATTCAAGAGGAAAGGACTTACACGTGAAAGAGACTGATGGGTCTTCTAGCACAAATATGGTGCAGAAGAATTTCCATGAGTTAAAGGGAAAGAACACGGTCTAGCAGAATACTACCTTCAAGAAGAAGTGTAAGAGGAAAGGCAAGAATAAAGTTGGTTGCTTCACTTGTCATGTCAATGGTCACTGGGCCAATAGATGCCCGAACAAGTTTAAGAAGTTAGGACAGGACTCCAAGTCTGCAATGTGACCATGAGCAACAATGATAGTGGGGCATCTGGGTATGGTAAATCGTTTTATTGTACTTTCAGTTTGTCAGTCCACTGATTGGTGTGTTGACACATGTGCAAGTATTCATGTGTGTGTGTTGATGTGCCATTTTTCTCTTCTTACCAGGTTGCACAAGATTGTTCTATCCCCATGGGGAATGTCTCACATACTTCTGTTTATGATGTTGACACGGTGGATCAGAAGTTTGCTTCAAGAAATATCATGCAGCATGTCCCCATTATCAAAAAGAATCTCGTTAGTGGATCCCTTATATGCAAAGAAGGATTTAAGTTAGTATTCGAGTCGAACAAAATAGTAATATCAAGATATGGATTGTTTGTTGGAAAATGACATGAATCTGAGGGTTTGTTCGACCTTTTCCTCAGGGATTTCAGTAACAAAGTCGTGAACCATATACATTCAAGCGTGAATGAATCTAAGGTTTGGCATTCACGTCTTCGTCACATTAATTTTAGTTATATGACACGACTAGCCAAGTTGGATTTAATCCTGAGTTTCACTTTAGCCAAAAGCTCTAGGTGCCATGCGTGTGTGCAAGCTATGCAACCTCGAAGCCTCACAAGACCGCGGAGGAGAGGCCCCGTGACACCACTAGAGATCATGCATTCTGATCTGTGTGAGATGCATGAATGGTGTGTTAACTAAAGATGGAAAGAAACTTTTCATGATGTTGATAGATGATTCCACTAGAATTTTCCATGTGTACTTTTTTAATACTAAGGATGAGGCTCTACACTACTTTAAAATCTATAAGGAAGAAGTTGAGAATCAACTTGAAAAAAATGAGTTTAGTCTGATCATGGTGGAGAGTACTTTTCTAATGAGATCAATTTATTATGTGGGGACCATGGAATTATTCATGAGAGAACGCCTCCATATTCACCCAGTCAAACGGGGTTGCCAAATGAAAAAACCTTACTGTTTCAGATTTGGCCAACACCAATATTAGATGCATCAAGTTTATCCAAGGCATCGTGTGGGAGGCTATATCGACATCATGTCATGTCCTGATTCCTGAATAAGGTTCCTACAAAGGATAATGAAATTACTCCCTGTGAGAAATGGTAGAAGAAAAGAACTACACTCTCTTACTTATGCACTTGGGGCTGTTTGTGAAAGTCAATGTGCCGATAACTAAAAAGCATAAGCTTGGACCAAATACTATGGGCTGTGTTTTTCTTGGTTATGCTAAGTACATCATTGGCTATATATTTCTAGTGGAAAAATCTGATGTACCTGACATGAAGGTCGGTACGATCATGGAGTCTAAATATGCT